ATATCTATAATTTCAATACGCCGTACTAAATAGAAGAAAAATACATTGACCAAAATTATTCATGAAAGGATAAGAATGAAAAAAATTACATTTGAGAAGAAGCAGGAAAAGGAAAAACTAACAATAAACCGTAGTAACGTTAGAAGTAGCTCACCCTGAAATGATTTGGATATAACTTTGCACCAAAGGTGCAGAATAAGCGAACAACGTGGGCAAAATTAGGATTTCATTTTGCATCAAAGGTGCAGAATAAGCCGACAAAGGAGATACATATTTGCGACCCAAATGAGTACATACCAATAATGGAAAATAAGCGATGAAAATAGATACATAATTTTAACCCAATATCGACTCTTAGCTCGCTCCCCAAAAAATGCGGTGTCAAGATTGTTACTGCTAGTTATTCTGTACTTCTGGTGCGCTTTGCATCGATTGTCCCAATTGTTTTGTACCATACAAAATAGACAACCTAGATATGTAATTTTGATAGAATTATGCACCAATGGTGGAAAATAAGCGGAAAAAATTGTTAGCCAATTTTGACATAGATTATTGCATACCAATTATGCTACTCATTTGGGTTAAAATGGTTTAGGGACTTATTAATTAGCATCAATTGATGCAAAAAACTCGTGAACAGACAGACGGACAGACGGACAAGAGGAATTCAATAGCTCTCATGCTACGCAGGGTGAGCTAATAACTAATTAACGCGTAACGATTAATTATTGATCAGCTACTGAAGTGAAGCACTAAACGTAAAAATCGGAAACTTTGATTTCTTCTATTTCACTCGTCTCGACCAGCAAGTTTTTAAAATTAAATTGAAATTTTAATAATTACATTGAATGCATCACTTGAAAAAGTACGGGAAAAAGTATAAGGTTTTTAGGGAATCTATATTATAAGCGAGAATGTCTGTTGACAACGGAAGTGAATGGAATTTGTTCGCAACGGAAGTGAAAGCAGAGAAAGTGGGGTTATCGGGTCGTTATTGCCTGGTGGGGGGTTATCGGAGCTTTGCTGCCGGATGGTGGTTATCGTGGTGTGCAGGCCCCGATTTTTGGGGGGGCAACCGGGGCAATTGCCCAGGGCGCCGAAAAGCCAGGGGCGCCGCCAGGCGCCCGAGCGCACACTAGATAAGATTGAGTGTCACCGTCCCCAGTCTAATTTGAAAATTACATAAGAATAAGTGGCATACTAGGATCTAAGTGTGCCACAAGAGTTTGTGCAAATACTCGTTTTTTATGTATATTTTGAACTTTCCACGGCTTTATGTTCATCAATGAATCATACCGTAGCGTTGCAAGTTAAGCAGAATCGTGCTCGCTCTGACACATGTTTAGCCCGAGTCAGGGCTTATACCTAGAATCTTTTTGTCCGTCTGTCGTCTGTCCCCAAGTTTATTTCTGTTCTACTTATTCGATCGACTTGAAATTTGGCATGTCAAAAATATCACTAGAGGCATATTATGAGAAATTTGCCATTCCGCGTTGCATGGATTTCACCAAATTAAATATAAAAATTTGTAAGCAAGATTTCGGGTGCAACCATTAATATAGTTCCGAACAGATCAGATAATCATGTATCTGATCTGATATCTGATCTGATCTGAAAATTTCAGATATGCAAAACAGAGCCGTACCGTGAAATTTTCAGGCCTGGTATGAGCTTCAGTGCCGGGCCCTTCATGTTAAATATATTCGATATTACGCAATCGTTTTCGCTCCAGAACACTAGTACACTCTCAATAATTTAGAAGCAAAATTATTACCATTTTTACTACCCTGACAAGGTAACAACCTCTGTCTCTCATTAGGTAATAAATTTGTCACCAAAATTGTCAACATTGGAAGTGACAAACAGTATATCCTATCCGGAAATAATTTATTTCCTTCGAGGAAATAATTTCGTCTCCAAAATCATTTCCAGTAGGTGACAATTTTTCTCCTTAAAGCCCAGCGCAAACTTTAGTCACTAAAGTTTAGTGGCAGTTAAGTTTTCTCTCACAAACGTTTCTCTCTCGCACCTGGCAGAATAAAGAAAATTGTTCGAGTTTTGCATCTTACCAGAGGAAAAAATTAGTAATTAGAGGTTCAAGTTATGGATTACCCTACATTTCAGGTAAATAATTTTAATTCATTGTTCATATTATGCTTTTGCTGTAATTTTATTGTTTTTTGTCCTATAAATATTTACACTAAAACAAGTTTTTTGTAGATCCGGATGCGCAAATTTCGTTCAAAGATGAATTTGGCGCAGATTGAGATGAAGATATTTTCGCAATTTTACTGCAATAACATTTCATCTCTAACGTTGCGTGTTCCACGGAACTCTTCGTGGAAGACGTTTTTATGGTAAGATAAAACTCCATTTAAAGTAGTAGTAATTAGTTTGATTTCTCTTTGAGTGTGATTTTAAAATTTATACAGTTGACGCTTCATTTCTGTTGGCCGTAATTAGACCAGTTGGTCTAATTTGAATTCATAACCAGCGTCAAATTCAAAGAAATGATCGAAATGCCAAATTATAAACAGGTGACAGGTGGGCCCTCACTTCATTTTTATTTATTTTATTTGTATATCTGCGATTTTTTTTAGTTTGAGTACTGCAGGATAATATTTTTAATTTTATTTGATTTTCAGATAACGTAAATCTTCAGCAGCGAGCCAGCTAGTACGAGGATCAATCTTCACTAACATTATAAGTAATATAAGTATGTACATATATATATAAGCCTGCACAATTTAATTTTTATATTTTTAAGTGTATGTACGTAGTATGTAGAGACATGCGAAGAAATTTAATCTCTAACCAAATCTTATTTAAGTAAATAAATACATATTTTATAAACTATGTTTGCTTCCCCAGGGTTCTAATCTATTACCGCAAGGAGATAAATATGTGCGCAGGATGGAGATAACTTATCTCTCATATTATCACCATATCTAGGTAAATTATTTCCATTCAGAGACACAAGTTACTTCCATGTTGCATAAATTGTCACCGGGAGTAACAAATTATATCCAAACAGGTGATAATACTATTTACCTCCGCTCGGGAGAGACAAAACATATTTGTCAACAGGCGGAGGTATATTATCACCCTACGGTAGAGTTGCATAGTACCTACACGAGGAGACGATTTTGGTGGCAATTTTGCTGAGAGTGTAGTATTTAGGAACGAAGTAATATTTTACCTATTTAGAGCACACTATTTTCCCAGATCCACGGGAAAATAGTGACAATTAAATTGTAATTTTAAAGTGCTCAGACACCGAAATAACTCGAACCATAATTTTCGTTTTCCTGAATGTTCGTGTTTTCGGTTGTGCCAGAATTTGTGAATATATTTTAAGCCAAATCAGGGTTTTTCAAAGTGATAAATTTTTACCCCATTTCAAAAAATGAAAGCACTTTATTGCACAGAATTACATTGAGTTTAAGAAACTTCCACAATTCAAAAAAAATTTCGAATTTTCTGGTCTGTAACATTTTTTCAAAATTTCGAAATAGCATCAAAATTTCAAACATCAAAAGTTTTTCCAAAAACAGTTTTTATAATTTTATTGAGGTAATTTTTTAGCAAACATGTTACTTGCTTGTTGAAATAGAGCTAAAATTTTAAAATTAACAACGTTTTGAAAAATCCTGCTTTGGCTGACAATGTATTCAAAACTTCTTCCACAACCGAAAACACGAACATTCAGGAACATGAAAATTACCGTTCGGGTTATTTGGGTGCGTGAGCAATTTAAAATTGGTCGGGTCAAAATTTGAGGAAACCACTTCATGCCGACCCATTTTAACCTTAAACGAATTATCATGCATGGAATTAGTATGCGAGAATCTGTATTTTTCTCCCTCGCATGAAAATATCACGGTAAAAATAGAAATTCTCGCTCACGGATTCCGTCATAATTTCATTTAAGCTGAGCATTATGAAAAATCCTGAAACACGTGTTCAATTATTTGTCTAAGGTTACATAATTATCGTGGTTTCGTCAAAATCGGAGCGAGACCTCTGGCATCGTCGCATTGCCGATTAAGGGGCCTAAGTTTATACCAAAGTTTGTCCCTGGCTTATGGTAAATTTGCTCCCTAGCAAGGCACATTTCAAGTTGCCAAAAAACATGAAGGTTCAGCTAAGATGACGATTTTGCATATTAATTTAAGATTCGAAAGTCAGGCTATTAAAATTAAAAATTGTCCAGTATGTCTGCTCAAATTCATACAAAAATAATTACCCATGAAATACAAATAATATCTAGCAGTTTAATGTTAGGTACATCTAAACAAAAACTTTTTTTTAATCTTCAATAGACAAAAGGTCCATTATACCTAGTGGAAAGCTAGCGACCGAGCCCGGGCCCCTACGGGCCCCGGGCCTGGTATTTGCTGCCACCATATACCACTGTTGGTACGGTACTGATGCAAAATTTCTATCTGATCTGATCTGAAATTTTCAGATCAGATAAATCTCGTATCTGATCTGAACTTTCAGATATCTGATTTATCTGTTCAGATATCAGATATCTGATTTATCTGTTCAGATATCAGATATCTGAATTAAAATTAAAAATATTATAAACCCGCCCAAGTTCAAGATGTATACAATGTACGGCTTTATTTTATAATTTTACGAACATAACATTGAAATCGTTAAATAGACCGCAAATGGAGTTTAATTCAAATAACATAACTAGAAGGCAGCTTTCCACCATGACTTTAAGCACATTGAAGCAGAAATCGTTTCAGGTTTCAGTCTGCATCTCGACGGAACAACAAGGTCAACACCACCACTAAATTCACGCTCGATTGGAACAGATGTAGGCTGAACGGAAAATACATCTTTTGCCATTCTGGACAAATTAGGGTAGTTTTTTTCATTAAGTTTCCACCATTCCAATATGCTCCCCTTTGATGGCGCAAGTGGTTCTGCAAGAAATTTGTCGATTTCGGATCCCTTTTTTCCAAGTTTACTTCTTTTGTTCATATGTGCTAAAAATCATCTTCCTCTTCCTCCTGGACTAGGCCAGGAGAGGTAGTATCAGAAGCTCGAGCATAATATTTCATAAATGTGTTAATTATTTTGTTCTTCATTTTCTTTATTGATCGACTATCCCAATCATGCTCCTTGAAGTACTGCAACTTGCATGAAGGATTGAGAATTACAGCGGTAAATAGCAATTCATCTTTTTCTGGATCTGGGAAGTATTTTTGTATCTTGTCATAGGCCTTGCTTGCAGCATCTGTCAGTGCAGGACTGGAACCGTCCGAGATGAACGACGTCAGTTTGTCACTTATCCAATCGAACATCGGGACGACCGAAGTAATAGTAACGTGGCGACTCATACTTAGATGTTCAGTAGCTCTATCAAAATACTGCAATACTACCATGAGGTGTTCTAGTGCTGACCAGTCGCTTTCAGTTAAAATATGTTTTTGAAACTCGGGCTCAGATGAACAGAAAACTAAAATCGGAATTTTTAATTCCAACGCCCTAGTTATCATTGCATGCGTCGAGTTCCATCTCGTCTTGACATCAATGACCAATTGATTCTCCTTAGTGTTGTTTTGTTTACATGCATTCGTCAATTTCCCTCTTCTCTGTGGAGATGCACGAATTCGTCCTACGAGTTTGCGAAGCTTGACAACTACCTTAGTTTCAACACAACTTGCAAGGTCTTCAGTGATTTCGGTGTCAATTTCATCTTCTGTATAGTCTTCATCTTCTAAAGTTGGTGTTACTTCAAGATGTTCTAGCAAGCTTTGGACGGCGAGATTGAGAATATGGGTGACGCACCTAACACGATTTCCATTCTCTGTAAATGAGACCTGATTTTCATGACAAAGCTTTTGAAACTCTCTGAAGAAGGCGTCATTATTGGAGGCGTTATCGGTTGTAATTCCTAGCACCTTATGTAGTGGAATACCAGCATCTTCAATCCCGCTTAGAAAAACGGCAGCGATATTTATTCCTGTGTGCGACCCAACAATATTTGGAAATCCGATAAGCAGCTGTTTGATTTCCCAGTCGTTGGATATCCAGTGAGCCTTCATTCCCATGAAAGCAATCTGATTCTTTGAGGTCCATACATGGTGCGTAACTGAAAGTTTTACTTCGTTCGCCTGATGAACCAGAATATAATTAAGTATACGTAATTAGTTTGCAAGAAACTAACAATAGTATCTTACCATGACCAGAGGTTTAATTTTAGATTGCTCCTCCTTATATGTTGTCATTAAGTCTGATTTTATTGTGTCAGCAGAAATCTGAAGGGACGAAACTGGTAACGCCGGATTTACAGATTTTAAAACATTTAGGAATGTATCTTGCTCAATTTCTGTATGAGGCTGGTTCGAAACAACTATCCATTTCAGCAAGGCTTGTCGTAACTTGTCTCGGTCAAAAGTTTGCTGTTTTTTAAAGATGCATGCTGTTACTGTTAAGAATGCAACAAGTAATTAAAATCTATTTTGCTTACACTTGTCATGGTGTTATTACTGTAGAACTGGGTAACTTCAGGCTGTTGTGGATCGTGATTTTCCATATTATACTGTGTCTTATGTGATTTTATAAGGTGGCTTTTCAGATTTCCAGTGCTTCGATTTGCTTTGGATGACATAGTATATCTTCTGTAAATTTAATAAACATGTGGAATTGATCTTGATAATGTATCTAAATATTGTTATATGTATAAACTAACGTTGAACAGTAGTTGCATTTTGCAAAGCACACGCCATTTACTTGAACTTCTTTAAAATGTTCCCAAACTTTACTTCGTTTCTTGGTCTTGTTTAGGCCGGATTCAGATTCTCCATCTTCGCTGTCGATAATATTTTCACCAGAAGTATGGTCAACATCGGAAGAATCCGACCGTGAATCGCTTTCCTCCATCGTACTTATCACTGATAATTTATCAGTAATTTAAGTTCAGAAAGTAACGTTAATTTTTAGTTAATAATATTACTCCGGAAAATAATTTATCAACAACGTGTTCAATTAGTTAATCAAAACTCAATAAATATAATATTTAGTCCAGAAGGGTACACATTAAAAATGAGTGAACCTGAAAATTCTAAAAATCCCTTTATTTTTCTCACTTTTATGGTGACATTGAATGTGTAAAAATAAAACAGATATCTGAACAGACACCAGATATCTGAAAAAAAAATCAGATCAGATATCTGATTTTACAATGGACTATCTGATCTGATCTGTTATCTGTTCTCAGAATCAGATCAGATACTTCTCGTATCTGATCTGGCAATTATCTGACCTGATCTGATATCTGATCTGAATTATCTGATCTGTTCGGAACTATAACCATTAATGTACTACAGCTATTTTAAAATTATATGCAACCAACCCCTTTCAAAAATTTAGGAAAGTAGATGGAAAAAATGAGAAAGCCAATGTACATTGGGTAACATAAAAATTAGACCATAACTTGCATTTGACATTTGATTACCTATATGAATACGAACGTTATCATGCTTCAAAAGTTGCAAAATTCGAAAATCGGAGGTTTATTGACCTACACATAAATAATTAAAAACTCATGGCTCCTGCAATTTTATTTCTGACTACCTGACGATAAATTTTGCTCCTAGAGAAGAGCTATAATTTCAGCTTTCGTTGTCCGAATAAAAAGTATGGGTACCAGGAGATTTTTGGGGTCAAAGTTTGTGAGGGAGTGGCTTATACGGAAAGAGCGGTAACAAAATATAGCCATTGATAAATCGAGAAGCAAAGTGAGACATGATTCTACTACGACCTTGACGCGCGATAGTAGTGGACACGCTTCGAGTCCACTCTACCTCTTGCAAAATATGGAAACGGGTTTCGTTGCACATTTCCTTCGATATTCCTAAATAGTTGTAGAGAGCTGAAATTGACTAAATATGAAGCAAATTTCGAAATACCGATTTTACGACATCCACGACATTTACGACTAGTGGAAAAATATGAAGTGGAATTGAAATAAAATTAATCATTTATAATTCGACACATTAATTCGAGCTATACGAGGCTACACTGCGGGTTTGTAAGTTAATCTCACACACAGTAAGTCACGTCTCTACCATTTGGACAGTTCTTATCGACGGAATAAATTTTGAAAAATGCATAAATTTAATTTCTATGATTTATATGTGCATGCAATTCCATTTTATCAAAGTTAAGGAAAATTAACTTGCTTAACAATTAATAAACCGTTGCAAACGAAATGTAGCAAAGTGGTGAAGCGGACACGGTCACACGGCCATGGCATTTGAAAATAATGGCGGTTTCTGAAATCCCCCCCCAACTACGGCTAAGACAGTGGTAATAATAAATTCGACAATTTTCGACTTTGGCATCGTCTGCACTGTTACACGGTCATCACACGTCGAAATAATGTCGATTTCTGAAATCTCCGTCCAAAAATACATCTAAAATTGTGGGAACAAAATTCGACACATTTGAACGTTGGCGTCATCTCCGTGGCGCCGTGATTTATGACCTACAACGCCCATTTTCGAACACCCCTTAATGAGCTGAATAATATGCATATACTTCATCTAATATTTAAAAGCATAAAAAACTAATTTAGCAAGTTAGTTGTGGAAATTCAAGATTTTTAGAGGGACTGGGGCGCCTCATATGCTTGCCCAGGGCGCCAAAATCCAAGATCGGGCACTGGTGGTGTGACGGCCTAATGGTGGTTATCGAGGCTTTGATGGCTTTGCTGCCTGATGGTTATCAACGCCTTGCTGCGTGATGGTGGTTATCGGGGGATGGCGGCCTGATGGTGGTTATCGAGGGTTTGCTGCCTGATGGTGCTTATCGAGGGTTTGCTGCCTGATGGTGGTTATCGAGGCGTTGCTGCATGATGTAGTTATCGAGGGTTTGCTGCCTGATGGTGGTTATCGAGGGTTTGCTGCCTGATGATGGTAATCGGCGTGTGGCGGCCTGATGGTGGTTATCGAGGCTTTCCAGCCTGGTAGTTATCAATACTTTGCTGCCTGATGGTTATCAATACTTTGCTGCCTGATGGTTATCAATACTTTGCTGCCTGATGGTTATCAATACTTTGCTGCCTGATGGTTATCAATACTTTGCTGCCTGATGGTTATCAATACTTTGCTGCCTGATGGTGGTTATCGGCGTGTGGCGGCCTAATAGTGGTTATCGAGGCTTTGCTGCCTGATGGTGGTTATCGAAGCTTTGCTATGTGATAATGGTTATCGGGGTGTGGCGGCCTGATGGTGGTTATCGGGGTGTGGCAACCTGATGGTGGCCATCGAGGATTTGCTGCTTGATGGTGGTTACCGAGACTTGGCTGAATGTTAGAGCTTATCGGGTGTGGAGGCCTGAGGGTATGTAATATTTACATACCCTCAATTTTTAATTAGAGAATGACTACGTATGCATTCTGTATCTATGTAAGTAAACCCAGACTGATAAAGTTTTTGTTTTGTTTTTGTTTGTTCGAACAAAACAGAGATACTACTCTGCTTTGCCTGCAACTTTTATTCATATAAAAATTTATTTTGTAGTAAATTGACAATCATTATTATTTTGGGGAGATGTTACGTATGTACATAGGATTGGGAAAATGCGTATGTAAATATTTAAGGTGCAAGTTAACTGGCGCGTATTTAGGAAATATTTATTAAACCCTTAACCTAATAATCTACATAGTGATTTTGCTACTAATAGATTTTAACCATTCCTCTCCTACTAATTCATGGAATGAATCTCCTCCTTTAAGGAGGAGATTCATTCCAATTTCCCATTCTTCCTTGCGAATTGCAATTGCAAATTGCAATACTGAGTGGTTGCAAACCACTCAAAAAATCAAACCAGGGTTTGATTTTTTTAAATTAGAGTTTCCTACATAATTAATGTCTATGTCAGCTTAGCTTGCAATACCTCAAAAGACGGTTATGTAACTAGAGTACGGTTATTCTTTACAATTATGACCTTAATTTTTTACAGTACAATTTGAGTGAAATATTGAATTTTTTTGGACAGATACATCAGATTCATGGAAAAATAAAAGATGAAATGACTTCGGAAAACGTAAATACATAAAACGCAAATTTTGCATGAATAACACATCTTGGGGTATTGCAGATTTTAACAAAACGATGAGCAAGGAAAATAAAGTATGGTGATCTTAATATATAGTCTATCGGGATACTTACACAATGTGTGAGAGTTTTGAGAGGCTGACCCGTGACCATGAAGGTTTTGTGTGGGTCATAACCGGCACTCTTTGAATAGGGAGCTATGTACAACGTGGAATTCTGTACTTAACCATGCAAATATTATGTAGACGTTACTCATGACAAACATTAATCTCGTTGACGTTATATTTCATTCTGAGCCTGGGTAAGTGGTAACAACTCAGATCGAGCATAAAAGTTCAACAGAATTTTAAGACAAAGTGAATCAGATTACATTTTTGCAACAAAGTTGATACGGAATGTAGAAAATTGTAAAGACGAAGTGCTTGTGTACTTCAGTACACAAATTTGTGTAGTTATTTTATTTTCCGTTCACGGCGAAGTACACACATTTGTGTAGTATTTATTTGTCCGTTGACGACGAAATACATACACAAATGTGTGTACTGCAGAAATTTCCTTGACACCAAAGTTTTTTCAAAAAACGAATATTTCTTCGGTATTTTGTGGAAAACTCGATGGTGAAAAGTGGATTTTTTTCGACATTTTTCTCCCAAAATTCTGGAATTTTCCCTATACCGACCAATGTTAAAAAGTAGATTTTTCGTGTTTTTCGTCAAAAACTCGAATATTGGAAACTGGTGGAAAATTTTAATTGGTTGCTATCAGGTGTAATTATGAAATCAAAATCGTACCGAAGGGAAATTTTATTTAAAAATTAGTTGTTCTAAAGAGGTTAAAAATGATTTCGTAGCAAATATTTTGCAGAAATTGTCAGAAATTTTGATGAAAATTTAGCAAATTAAACGAATTTTTAATATTTTTTACGATTTTTTATTGGTTATGATTAGATTTTGCTAATTTGCTCGAATTGTGTAAAACTGGAAATTTTGATATTTTAAGAACGGTGGAAGATTTTCAGGGTGATTTAAAACCAATTTAGGGACCTGATAGTATCCGCATGGATAATCCAATTTACCGACCAGGTGACCGAAATGCATGAAAAAGAGACCCAAAAGTTTGACTGGAAATTCAGTTTTCAAACAATTTTGAGGAGATTTTGGGAGGTTTCCCTAGCAGAGCACAATGACAAGGTCTAGTGTACGTTGGTCAAGGTGGTTAGAAAATTTGTGGAAAAAAGCTTTAAAATTTTGAAAATCTATGAGCAGTGGCAGTGGGAGGAGCCAGAGAAAGTCTGCCGGTTCATCAATGTTACTTATAAAGGTTATACATAAATAGTAGTAAGTTGACCAGATGAAGTCAACATGTTGAAATAATAGATGGAAAACCCTGAAATACAGTGGCACTATAGATAATTAGTTTTTGTTACCTCGCTTTCGCCAATGTGATTGGAAACTATAGGCAAATTCCTTTTCTGGGTAAGCTAAACCCTATTTATTCCTTCGTTATCTTGAGCTATCCACAACTTGTTTTAATATTTATGAGATGGCGAGAGCAGCTTAATCGATACTTATTTATGCAAGCAAGTGTTACATACAGGTGTAGATATGCATGCGAATTATTTAGCCAATTCTCTATGTTTAAATTACTCTACCTCGTCATTGGGGATAATAATAATAATAACAATAATAATAACAATAATAACAAAAGTTATTATAATATCAGAATCAGTTAACAATGTCACTGAAGGTATGGCTAATATTGTTTTCCATTTTGCACAAATCTAACGAACGAGAAACGTTTAATGATTTCCTTAATGTCTTT